CTGTGTGCTGCTGGCGCCCGCATGGCTCACCTCCTCGGCACTGGGGGCAGCTCTATTCCTAGTTGTTCCTCATCCTGTTTTTGATGTTAGGAAGAAAGCTCTGAGTCTAAAGTACATTAGCTCTAGATATCTTTTATCTGGTTGAGGAAATTTTTTTCTTATTGAATGATTTTTATCCTGAAAGGGTGTTGGATTTTGTCAAATTTTCTGTCTGTGTGTAATAATACAATCATGTCATTTCTGATCTTTATTCTAATTGTATGGTACATTATTTTCATTGATTTTCTGGTATTAACCACTTTGGCTTTCCAGGATACATACCCCTTGGTCATGGTATAAAATCCAAATTATTTGTTGCTAGATTCAGTTTGTTAGCTCATTTCTGCATTTTGCAATATCCAGATGTGAGCCCAAATATGGGGGAGGGCCACCTTTTCTTGATATTTTTCCAGACACCACTGCAATGGTCATTTCTCATTAATTCTGGGACCTGAAATCCAAACTCTTTATGAATTTTGATGAGCAAGGGGTGCAAAGTCAATTTTTTACTATAATATTAAAACAATTCACTTTTGCAACCACCCTTAGTGCTAGGGAAGAGGATCATGATCAATAAGGCACATGTTAGTTGGTATGTAATTTTAAAGTAAATGACAAAGATATTCTCTCTCTTTCTCTCTCTTTCTCTCTCTCTCTCTCTCTCTCTCTCTCTCTCTCTCTCTCTGTCTCTCCCTCTTGGTCTCTCTCTCTTTTCCAGTGCTTTCCTCTTCCCTCACCCCTTTCCTTCTCTGGTGCTGGGTATGCAACCCAGGACTTCATACATGCTAGGTAGGAATTCTACTACTGAGATACCTTCTAGTCCTGAGGTCTTCATATACCAGAAAAATTAGTATATGGTCATACATGTTGCAAATAATTTCCCCAGGTTGTTATTTGACATTTAGAATTGTTAGTGATGAAATTTTGTTTGCAAAACAGAAATTTTGTTAATGTTTTAAGGAAGTATGTTTTTAAAATGAATTTTATTGGTACATTTTAAGTATATAATATAATGACATTCATCATTGGAGATCTGCACCTTTTCATAATCTCTCTTGGTTCTTATTTTTTCCCTATTCCCCTGCCCTCCCTTCAACCCCTCCATCCCTCCCTATTTACAAAAACTTTGTTTCCATTTTTTCATTTTCTCTTATTAATTCCATTCCCTTCTTTCCTTTCCCCTACCCCTCCCAAGGAAGTAAATACTTTTGAGTTTTTTGTTTATGATTTCTAGATTTTGTGTCATTCATAGAAAAATTTGCCCTACTGTCTATGTCACCAAAGTGATGTAACTGTTTACCTGTCTTTTTTCTCTCTACCTCTAACCCATTACAAATTAGGAAACTGATGTTCAGATGGATAATATAACATAGCAAAAGTCATACAACTAATAAAATAGTCCATAAAATAGATGGCAGTCCAGTGAGGTATGGTGGCATATGCTTATAATCCTAGCTCTCTGAGAAGCTGAGGCAAGAGGATCACAAGTTTGAGCCAGCCTGGGCAGCTCAGTGAGACTCTGACTCAAAATAAAAATTAAGACAGTGCTTGGAATGTTGTTCAGTGTAAGGGCCCTGGATTTAATCCCCAGTAAAACACACACACACACACACACACACACACACAATACCACCTGTTATGGCCTGTGTCTAGATGTTTCCCAAAGTCTTATATGCTCATAAATGGGGCTTTTCAGAGGTGGTTACATCTAGGGTGTGCAATACTAGGTTTAAGAGTATATGAGTATTCAGGCCAGGGATTTATCTCAGTGGCTCCACTGTTTGCCTCACAAGCACAAGGTCCTGAGTTTGATCCTCAGTACCAAAAAAAAAGTGTATGATTATTAAATGGGTTTAGCATAGTTCAGAGTGTGGATAATGGAAGCATTTATAGCCTGGATAGAGTATAAGGGGAAAGAAGGAAGGCAGGCT